GGGGCATGGTGCCGCAGATAGTGGCACTGTTGGTGAAGGGGGAGGGGGCTTTATCTGGGAATCTTCGGAAGTTTTTGGAGTCTGGGTTTTAACATCTGGGTCTGTTAAATCAGTCCATGAGGATTCATAGGGGGGAAGGGGGGGTAAAAGTTATTTTTGTTGATGGGTGCTTTTTGTCTGACTTGGTCAATTTTTATTTTTTGTGTCGTTGAATCTGTTACTGGGCAATCTTCAGGATTTTTTCTTTATTTTTTTGGGCTGTTGAATCTGCTGTTGGGCAATCTTTAGGGTCTTTTTCTTTATTTGAATCCTCCCCTTTATTATCTCCTGGTGCTAGTAAATTATCCTCAGGCTTGGATGGGTTTCCTAAGCATTGTCGGATGACAGCTATTACGGGGAGGAAGGAAAGGGGCAAATGGTGCCTTTCTTGGATTTCCTTTTTATGAGCCAGATAGGCAACATGGGTCCAGACCTTTGGGTCGGAAATGTCTGCCGACAGGATCCAGGGTGTGAATCAAAATACTTCATTCCAAAATTTTGAGCCTTTCTTTTGGGAAATCTTAAGTCCTCTTGATTTAAGTAGGGCTCTAAGGGAGAAAATTTGAAGGTTTTTTTTTTTTTTTTTCATGATGCTGAATTCCCCATTATAGAAAAGAAAGGAAGTGTTGTCAGTGGCGTTCAATGTTTCCAAGGCAGCCTGTCACTGGGGGATTGAGATGGTTCGACACACACAAGCCTAGCCACCGATTTAAGATACTGGCAACCATCCTTGTGACTTTTAACTGGTTTCTGAGTTACCAGATAGTTGTAAAGGTTATTGCCTACACCCAGTCGGGCTGTCGGGGTCCAGAAAGAGGGCAGGGGGCCTTCGGCCAATATCGGGGAGTTGCCCTGACCAAGAGCCTTCAGTTGCCTGTAAACTGTATCCAGACCCTCGCGAAGACGTTAAATGAAAGTAAAGCAGAGAGAGAGACTCTCCCCACCCCTCCTTTTTTCTCACGGGGCAGGTCAATTTAAATTCTTACCGGGAAGCCTGTGGGGACATGGAGGACTACAGGAGAAAGCCCTCTACATGGGGAAGTCCTCTCTGATGAGCCCCTTCCCCAAGAACAAGTTTACAGAAAAAATGGCTTTTAAAATCTCTTTTCTGTTTGTCTATGGGCAAGCCATCTTTAATTCTTTAAGTGCTCCTTGGCCACCCGCTGCTTTAAATCCTTTGTTTTGTTTATGTTATGGGGCACTTGGATCCTGAGTGCATTTTCCTCTGAGGCAGGTCAATTTAAATTCTCACCTAACTGGTTTAGCTTGAGCCTGAGTGTGTGTGTGTGGGGGGGGGATGTGAGATAAAACAGATAAGGAAGTTTGTTTTCTTAGAAGTTGAATTCAATGCTTGTGTGAAAATCCCTTAGAACTTTGGGGATTTTTTTGTTCCTAGGGGTATTGTTCAAGATAGAAAAGGAAAGGGGGGTGAAACACTGATTCCTAGGGGAACACGCCTGAGAGCGAACACCTCAGGGGATTCCACCTAGTCCACAGTGCAAGACTGTCCGAAAATTTAAGAGATCTGGCAACCAGCTCTAAGAGCAATTAACTGGTCTTTGTGTGACCGGTTTTCACATTAGAAAGATATATAGATAGGGAGGGTCTTTGTCTACACCCCAGTCAGGTCCATTCAGTGGACTAAGAGCCTTTGGCTAACAGCAGGGGGTAGCCCTGATCAGAAAACCTCAATTGCTCCTTTGTCTTTAACGGTCCCACATGAAGACTCAGACTGAAAATAAGAGGAAAAAGAGGAGAGACTGCCGATCCTCAAGGGTGGGATGCCCCTACCCTCTTGGAGAGAGGGGGTATTCACAAACTCCACGTGTTCCAGGAGCCTCACTTTTGGGTGCCAGCTGTGGGTCTCTCCCTCCCCTCGAGGGCCATTGGCCAATGATCCATGAGGACAAAGGAAGCAGAAGCGACGAACAGGTTCAGGAAAACCAGTGAGCATGATGGAAAAGACTTTCTGGGGAGTCAGATTCAGTGATACAGCTCCGTTTATTCAGTGGGGGTCAGGGAAAATATAGTGTGGAGGCAGCAGCCAAAGCTTCAGCTGATAGGTGCTCATAGTATGCTTCATTTACATGTGGTAGGGGGATCCTATCATCCGACTATAGGGCAATGCCTAATTATCATATAGAAAAAACCTGGGGGCAGTTTTATTGCAGGCAACTATGTCAAAGGTCACATTCCAAATAAGGTCAGGCATCCGTGCTTGGTGGTACTTTCCAGGTAAGTCAGGCAGAGAGCAGGAGGCCCCTGCTGAGAAAGGGAGTCCTTCATCTGGACATGGAGGACTACAACTTTAGCAGCAGGGTCTCCCAATAATATACATGTATGAAAATTTCAAAGAATAAATAAAAATGAAAAAAAATCTTTCAGGAAAGCTCAGTGGTTAAGAGCACTTGCTGCTCTTTCAGAGGACACAAGATCAGTTCCCAACATCCACACAGAGGATATCAACTGTCCACAACTCTACTTCCAGGGAAATCTGCTGCCTTCTTCCGACCTCCTCAGGCATTGTATGACACAGTTGCACTTACACACATGCAGGCAAAGTACTCATATGCTTAAAAAAATAACTAAATGGGCTGGAGAGATGTCTCAGGGATTAAGAGCACTGACTCTTCTTGCAGAGGACCTGAGTTCAATTCCCAGCTCCCACATGGCAGCTACGAACTGTCTTTAACTCCAGTTTCAAGGGAATCCGAAGCCCTATTCTGACCTCTGTAGCACTGCGCAACCTGGGTGCACTAACGTACATGCAGGCAATACACGTGTACATATAAAATAAAATAATTTTAAAAATTTAAAAGAAATAAATAAGCTGGGCATGGTGGTACACGCCTTTAATCCCAGCACTCAGGAGGCAGAGGCAGGCAGATCTCTGTGAGTTCAAGGCCAGCCTGGTCTACATAGCGAGTCCCATGCCAGCTGGGGCTAAAGGAAGACCTTGTCTCAAAAAGACCAAAAAAATATATTTTTTTTAAAAGCGTTCATGCAAAGCTGGGCATGGTGGCACACACCTTTAATCCCAGCACTTGGGAGGCAGATCTCTGTGAGTTTGAGGCCAGCCTGGTCTACATAGCTAGTTCCAGGCCCGCTGGGGCTAAAGGGAGACCCTGTCTCAAAAAGACAAAAAAAATTTTTTTTTCAAAAAATCTAACATCACACACTACACTGATTCACAGAGGAGGAGAGCTCTAGTACAAAATGTAGCCCTGATATCTAGAGGTAGGTGGAGAGTGCCTGAGCCTAGGTCTGGTATCTTCAGTGAATGTCCCTGGAAGCTCAGAAGGTGAAACATCCACATGGTGATGTACATACAGGATGAAGCTGAGATTTGCATGAGAGCAAAGAAATCCTGAGGATGACAGTGTTTGTGACTCCTCCAGACTCACAGAAATTGACAGATTTGCAAGGTGAAGATTTGGGGCAGTTCTTTTTTGGATTTGAATGAATCATCATAGAGAAATATGTTCAGAGCTTTCTCAGTAATAGCAGCTTGCACTCCAGGATAATATTTTTTTTGTAAATTTTTATTGAATTTTTGTGTATTTCATAAAGAACATCCTAATCATCTTTATACCCCCTTCCCCTTCAGCACCCTTCCATAGCCCCCCACCCCCCACACTGGAATTCATACATTGTCATCTGTGTTAAGATCTATGGAATCAGGTTAGTGTCTCCAGATGTCCCTCAGTACAAGTTCATCTACTGAGGTCTAGTCAGCCTATCTAGCGTGCCAATAGTTCTTTGGCTAAGATTGGGGCTTGATGCCCATTTCCAGTTCCTTGTGGATTTTTGTCTGCTTGAGTTTGCATGGGTCTTGTGCATGCTGACACCATTGCTGTAGGTTCATATGAGAAGAGTCCCAGGAGCCTGTAGGACTATTTCCATATGGTCATGAACCTCCTCTGTGGTTCTTACAGTCTTTCTGCCCCCTCCTCTGCAATGGTCCCTGAGCCCTGGGTGGGTATATTTTAATATGGGAGTCCTGTCCAAGGACTCACACTGCAGACTCTTACTCTCTGCATTTTGGCCATTTGTGACCTGGCCTGCTGTTGCATGAGGGAGCTTCATTGATGAGAACTGAAAGATGCATTAGTGCTCTCTTCATCCCTTGTTCTATGTTCCATGAGCCTTAGGTGTAAAGGTTGCAGCCTAGATGTGTCACTTAGACTTGGGCAATTCACAGACAATCTGTGTGTGACCAGTTGTGGAACTCTGTAATACTCTCTATCTGTTGCAAAAGAAGCTTCTTTGATAAATGGTGACTGGGATACTTGTGTGTTTTTTATTTCTTTCCTGATAAACTAGACTTGTTTAGGTAAATAGGGATTCAATTTTTTGGATAAAATATCTGTGTAATAGCACACATTCTCTGTTTTTCAGACCACTGTTAGGATTTTACAATTATATGATTTTATGAATTTGTGGTGCTGGGATCCAAACCAGGGTCCTGAGCATGCTTGGAAAGGACTCCATCACTAATCCATCACAGAACTAGATTCCTAGTCATAGTTTAGTAATTCTCCAGCATAGGGGATGGAGAGATGGCTCAGCTGATGGAAGCAATAGTTGCTCTTGCAAAGGACCTGGGTTCTATTCCCAGGACCCACATGGCAGCTAACAACTGTCCTAACTGCAGTTCCAGGGGATCCAATGCCCTCCGATCCAATGACCTCCGAAGGCATTGCATGACACGGGTGTACTTATATGCATGCAAGTAATACACTTATACACATGAAATAAAAATAGGATAATAAATAAAATATTAAAAAAAATGCATAGGCACCCAAAAGAAATTTTTCAGGTAGAAAATAAGAACCACAGTTGTAAAGAAACCTAGACAACCATCTTTGCATTTCATATTAAATATTTTAATTACAATAAGATGAGATAACAATAAAGTAGGAAATACTTACAAGACATTAAAGTGCTACATTATTGCTTGACTTCAATTGAGACAGGCTCCCTGAGTTATGGATGACTTAGCATACAGCCTATCCCCATCATGCGTGGCCAATGGAGAAGAAAGGTCTGACAGGGAAATTGAAGGCACCAGTAGGGTACTTCCATATGAGGGAATTCTTGGCCACATTCAAGAAGCTCACACTTCCAAGGTCACAATCAAGGAGCACACCGATTTGGCCCAGTGGTATCTCTACATAATGAAGAAGTGATGGGGAGGTGGTCAGGAGGCTGTAATAGTCACCCTCCTTCACAAATACAAGAAGGAACACATCCTTCAGTTCAATCAGTGGGCCACACTTGGTTAACTGGGAATCTTTACAGACCCCTATAGCCCAGTCCCAAGAGTCACATACAAACAGTTCCCAATAATGTTTCCCATAACTGAAGCTCTGGGTTCCCCAGAAAACAGAGTAGCATCCATCAGAATTCACAGATGCGTCCTGAAGTTGATGTGGAAAGCTGAATCGTCTCACCTCATTAAATAGGTTCATCTTGTAATGGATCATGATTTCATTTTCAAAGAAAATTTCCACTGTGAAGAGAAGAAAATATTTCCCTTGAAATAAGCTTCAACCTTTCTTAGATTAGCTATGTCTTCTGACAAGAATGCCTTGCATTCAAGGATTTCAAGAATAAGCAACTCTGAGGGTGATGAAAAAAAAATTCTGAAACTTTGTAAATAATAAAGAAGATGGAGCTTCTGCCAACTTCTGGCTGGTGACTTAATTACAGCTGACAAACTGGAGATTTATATATTTCAACTAAGTCTAGATCACTGACTGACTTCATTGCTCTCTTCACAAGTAGTTATCCCTAACATATCAGTAGTGATCCTTTCCCCTTGGTGTTAATTCAACATAATTAAGGATATTGATAATTAAGACGAAAAACCTTAATGTATAATCTCAGAAGGGATTCTCTAGTAGCAACTGACTATTGTCAACTCCTGACTCCTCTAATGACTGTCTTTGAGGCTGTAACTCAATGTAGATTTACCAGAGAAATCAAGATTGTGCTTCATCTACGAATTTACTTTATTTTTAGTGCTCATGATATATTCCTTCGTGCATTTAATTTTTTATATTTATTTATTTTGTTTATTGAGACAAGGTATTGCTATAGAGTTGTGGCTGACATGGAATTCAATATATGGATAAGGCTGCCCTTAAACCCACGAAAGTCCTCTTCTGCCTCCCCAGTTCTGGGGTTACAGGTTGCAGAAGTACACCTGTGTATTTTCAATCTATCAAATGAAATACACTTTAAAAATTCTTTTGGAAAATATGTTTAAGGGAAGATATTTGATGAACTCCCCTTACTCGTCTGACTGGACCCAGGTTCGATTCCCAGCACCCACATGGTGGCTAACAACCATCCATAACTCCAGTTCCAGGGGATCCAATAACCTCTTCTGGCTTCTGTGGGTATTGCACACATGTGATGCTCTTATATGCAGGCAAAACACTCATATACATAAAATAAATAAAGCATTTTTTAAAAAAAGATTAAAGCCGGGCATGGTGGCACACGCCTTTAATCCCAGCACTTGGGAGGCAGAGGCAGGAGGATCTCTGTGAGTTCAAGGCCAGCCTGGTCTACATAGTGAGTTCAGGTCAACTGGGACTACAGGGAGACCCTGTCTCAAAAAGACAAAAAAAAAAAAAAGATTAATGAGTCAGAAAGTCACCCCATCATTTAAGGGCACCCATGGTCATTCCCCTGTGCCAACACTCACCTCGGAAATGGTTGGATCTGTGGACTAGTCCTGTGATGGGCTGGGCACTGAGTGCTAGTTTCATAGGCTGGGGCATGGACTGCTGCACTGACTCACTCCTGTAAGGAAGAAGAAGAAATTTATCCACTTCTGGCCAAAGTTGTTTTCACGATGTGTAGAAAAAGAAATAATCACCCAGGAGTTGGCTAAATGGCTTAGTAGGTACCATCACTTGACCAGCAATCCTGACAATTTGAAATCAGTCTCTCAAACCAATATCAAAAGGGAAAATTCCCTCCCCAAATTTCTCCCCTGTCCTCCAAATATATTATGGAATCTGTCTGCACTCACACTGTTTCACAAAACACACACACACCCATAGTTATAATAATACATGCGTTAAAAATAATTAAACAGGTGAGCACATTTCATGTCTCATGACATGCTTTCCTGACATTGTGGTGAAACCCCAGGATCAGGAGACAGAATGCCTCTTTTAAAATGGTCTTTCTGAGCCGGGTGTGGTGGCACATGTCTTTAATCCCAGCACTTGGGAGGCAGAAGCAGGCAGATCTCTGCGAATTCAAGGCAAGCCTGGTCTACATAGTGAGTTCCAGGACAGCTGGGGCTATAGGGGAGACCCTGTCTCAAATTGACCAAAAAAAAAAAAAAATGAAAGAAAAAAGAAAAGAAAATGGTCTTTCTGACTGCTCTCCTTGACTGCTACTACCCTATTTCTCAGTGGTACCTGTGTCTTTCATCTCCTACCTGGGAAAAATATGACCCATGAGACTGCACCAATGTTTATAGTTTTAAAACTAGAAATTTCAGTGTTGAGTCCCACAACATACTCCTTCAGTCACAGGTAGAAAGAAAAGACAATTTCTACAAAAGGAGATTAGAAATCATATATATTAAAACATACCCAAACATGCGCTGCATGGTTGGGCAAGCCTTTAATACCAGCACTCCAGAGGTAGAGCCAGACCCAGGCCAATATCCCTAAGTTCAGGGCCAGCCTGGTCTTTTAGTGAGTTCCAGGTCATAAAGGCTGCATAATAAGACACTGTCCCAACAATAAAAATCTAAACACAGGTGCACACAATTGAGTATTATCTTTAAAGTATAACTTCAGTTCTCTAAAGACAAGGTCTCTTTCATAATTCTCATTGAACCCTAATTTACACTGACAGCTAAACTTACCTTGTCAATATTTCTCTCAAATCCTGCAAAGAAATGGGAAAAGGTTAGATCACTGAAAAAAGGCATACTATTTTGTTTATAAAGTACACATAATATCAATCATCACACCAACCCACCATGTAAATAGTTTTATATCTAAGAATAGAGCCAGTCTAGCAAGTTGACCAGATTTAAATTCTGGATGAAAACAGAACAAAGAATGACAGAGCAAGAAGGAAGTGGGTAGTGACTGGGGCATGGTGGGAACCCACAACCCTCTGCAAAAATGTCTTTCTCTGGGCCTCTCCATAAAGGTAGCATGACTTTTCTTAGGGGTAATTCCAAACCATGGTCTCAGTCAGGCACTATGACTCATACCTGTAATTCCAGCATTTGAGAAGCTGAGGCAAGAGGATTACTGTCAGTTGGAGCTCATCCTGGGCCACAGCATGAGACCCTTTCTTGAAATCAGACCTCCCAAACAACTCTCCAAAAACTGGCTTCCAAACCGAAAAAGGAATTAAATGATAGCTTTCTCCAATTTCTGTATAGTACCCAAGAATATGCAAAAAATGAGGTGAACAATCAAAACACAGTGTGCAGGTTTAAGAGAGGCAAACTCCAGTCTGGCATGGTGGCACATGCCTTTAATCCCAGCACTCTGGACACAGGCGGCCAGATCTCTGAATTCAAGATCAGCCTGGTCTACATAGTGAGTTCCAGGCCAGCTGTGGCTAGAGGGAGATCCTGTCTCAAAAAAAAGGGGAGGGGGGAAGAAATATTATCTGAGGAATCTCCTGATGCAATTCTTTAAGCTTGATCTTTTATGGTTAGGATAGAATTTACTTTATTTGGATTGTTTCTGAAAGGTTACATCCTGACCATAGGTGTGACAGCTATAGAAAACTATCTTTGGTATCAAGTCACATATTCACGGTGTGGTCCTCAGCTGAGAGCCCTTTCTGCACCTCCCCATGCTCACCTGGAGTAGCTCCATGTGCGTCCCCTGGCACCTTGCTGCCAGTTCCTGGTATGTTTCTCTTAGTTGATTCCTCTTTCGTACCATTATGGCTGTGCTTTTCTGTAGTTTCTCTAAAATACTTTGGCCTTCATTTTTCAGACTCTCTACATGTTGCATTTCTTCCTCAAGGATGACTGGATGCAGTTTCCGATATTCTGTCCTGACCAACACTTCTCGTAGAGGCACATAGCCCTGCAGAGACATGGACATTCCAGATCACACTTGAGATCACTTTCTCTTCCTCCACTTAAAATTCTTCAGTTTTAAGTTTAATTGGTACCTTCTATGAGTATATATCCACATAAAACTTAAAGGTACCAATTTTTAAGAAGATTAAATTTATTCTGCTATTTCATTTATTTTCTTTTTATTCCTTATCTCTAAGAACTTTCCTCAATTTCATGAGTTCTTGAAATATCTGAAGTAAAGCTTTTGATTTAATTGTATGTTTGCAAAAATATGAAGATCTACATGCCAGCAACTAAAATTCATGGTGCAGTCATAAATTATAGTGTCAGCAAATCAGTCATTAGTTTCAAACTTCTCTACCAGTCACCCTGACCATTTTCTCTACCTGTGGAGTTGAATATTATATTGAGAATTAGAGGCTATAATAAAAAGTTTCTCTATTATCATAGTTTCTGATTTATGACCCTCAAGCAACTAATAATCAAGTTTCCAGAATGTCTGTCTCATGCAGATTTCCAAGCATCACAGTGTCCTACCCACCATCCAAGCCAGGATTATTTTCTTCTCTTCATTTAGATGCCTCTGATTTTCTTGGATCTTTTCCCATAAGCATGTCATTTGCTCTAGTAGTTTCTCCTGTAACAAACAATAAATATCAACCCCAGAGAAAAACAATGGAACAAGGTTTTAGACCCAGACTGACAGACAGAATCATGAGGCATCAAGTAAAACTACTTTAGAGAGACTAAGGATCAATTTTTCAGCATTTTTTTTTGTTATTTTGATTGTACAAAAATTCCATACTATTGAATAAGAAATTTCAATGTAATTTTCGGTCAGGAAAAGTGGTTAATTAGCATGGCTAATTTTCCACTGGTCTGGTACATGGTTTCTGATTATAGAGTCCCAGATGGTTTTCTACCCTTTCCTTTTAGTTCCAATGTACTTTCCATAATTTAGTTTCCAGTGTTAGTGAACAAATATCCTCCATTGGTACCTATTTCACTATCCAGGGACTTGAGCATAATCAAGATTATTAAAATAGTAATAAGCATTAAACTTATCAGATTCTGAAGGGATGTCAGTTCTATGAAGGCAGGATACTTTCATGTTGCATTCAGTTTCTTCATTAGTTCTTTTAAAAATGCCTATCACTCAGAAAACAGTGGGTTGACCATCATCATAAGTTTCTTCCTTGTGATCTGCTAATCTTCCACCCTTCAGTTCTTGCCTGTTCTCAGAGGCACCACTTACCCTCTGCTTCTCAACAGCTGCTTCAGTGGGACAGAGTGTGTGACCTTCATGCTCCTCAGAGTTGGAGCAGAGTTGACAGAGCAGGAGCCTGTCCTCTTGACAGAAGATCCTCTTTGTCTCTTTGTGGGTCACACACAGGTTCTCCTCAGAGCTCAGGCACTTCCTGAGGCTGGCTTGTCTGGAAATGGACACCAGCTCCTTCAGAAGGTGGTCAGTTCTGAGGTCCTTCTGCTGGGATGGTTCCTTACATACAGGGCAATGGACAGGAGGCTGGATATTCTCCCAGGAAAGGCAGAGACAGTGCCGGCAGAAGCTGTGTCCACAGCTTATGGTGACTGGGCCTGTAAGGTAGTTCAGGCAGATGAAGCATGTGAGTTCTTCCTGGAAGGCTTGTGAGATGTCTGACTCCATTTTTCTGAGGGAAGAGAGGCAGAATTGCTTAGTATTCTACACCAGAGACAAAAGACTGCATGAAATTCCATTTAGGTTGAAATTTACTTCTATCTACTACAGAAGAGACTTCATTGTAAATATGACCAAGAAGAAAACCCAAGTGCAAGCTTGTTGCTACCATTTGTTCATATTTCTCTTGTCCTGACTGAGAAACATATTGATTTGACAATGTTTTATGTCCCTGCCACTGCATTTGTCCTGGAGGGTTTGGCCCAAGCTGGTTTCTTGCTCCTTTTCTGGAGTTTATTTTCCTCAGAAACACCAAATAGATTGTACCTGTCCATAAGCCAGTGTTCTCATAGAAACCCCAATCATGACATATGTAGTTAGAATGCTACTTTCTTTTGTTATCTATCCAATGACATGCTTCACCCCTCCACACATTTCCCTAGTACATGTTTTGGACAAATTTCTGGTTTCTAATGTTTTATTCTTTGGAATTGCATAACCCTCCTCCAGGGAGAGTTTGGTGTCTATAGTAGTTACCTTTCTTCTTGCTGTCACAAAATCTCTGACATAAGTAACTTAAGAAAGGAAGGGTTATTTTGGCTCATAGTTTAAGATACAGCCAATCATGGTCGGGAAGTAATGGTGGCATAAGATTGAGGCTGCTGATCTCATTACATCCAAATCAAGAAGTGGACAGCATAGTATTCCTGCTGTACAGCTCCTTTTCTCGTTCATGTTCAGTCTGAGCCCCTGGTCCATGGAAGGGACTTCCCAATGTAGTCTACTTAACCTTTATAAAAAGCCTTCCCATATGCCTGAAGGTTTCCATAGTAATGATAAATCCCACCAAATGGGCTATCAACATCAATCTTCCCAGGGGCACTCTCTGTTCCAATTTCTTTGCTGCCCAAAGAGGAAACTCCAACTTTGAGTTTATGGGATGAAATACTGTGACACAAATGAATGCTCATGTCTTTTGGGCACTTAATCAACAGACACCCATTTCCTATATATTTTCATATCGACACAAAAAAAATAAGCCTTGTTTGGATTGTGGCGGCTTTCCTCTAAAATCAGAGCTTCAGGAGTTTGACACAAATGGAATCAAGTGGTTTCAGCTGGTGGGTCCTGACAACCCTGAAAACTGAGAAAACACTCCTTCCCAGTGCGCAGCTGAGCTGAGCTGCATCTGAGCTGCTACTTTCCTTTTCTCCTTTAATGGTTGCATTTTTTCATTTCATATTTTCTTTCTCTTCATCAGAATCATCAACCAACATGATTTTGAACATATAAGAAATAATGAAAATGAAGCTAAGCACTGCAAAATTGCCTCAGATTGTCACCAGAATCTAATTATACAAGTAGAAAAAAGCGTGATGACTATTTTCAACATTAATTATGCGCTCTGACCAAACTAAACAAACTATAGCAACTTAGGCACTTCTACCAAGATGTTAAACTATCAAGTATTCAGTCAAAGTATAAAAAGATGTTGCTTTATAATTCACAAAAGAAAACTTATTCTTTATGATTCTTATTTTGCTGAAAACTTCAGTATTCAATTCTAAAAAAAAATGACTGCATTCTGGTATTTCCTTCAAAGCATTCAATGCAGCACATAGTTACATATTTTAATCTGTCACCTCATTCTCATATATGTATATATGCAGCTTTGAGAGTGGAGGGTATGCATTAGTTCTGTACCTGCAGAACACAATCACATAAAGTATTTAAGGATTACCACAGAGTTCAACATACTAAAGTATCTCGTAACTTCTGATTCCTTATAATGGATCAGAAACACTAATGGTAACCTAAAATAGATCCTTACTTTAATTATAAATTATAAAATAAATCAAGAGGACCAAATGGGAATAGTGTCACTCTTGATACATAAGAAAGCTCATTTCTTAGGCAAACATATTTGCTAATAAGTTTAAAAGAGGGCATTTGTTTCATTTTTCCTGGGGGAATTTCTAGGTCCTTTCTCCTCCTGTACATTGTCTACTCACATAAAAAATGTGTCTCTAGCCTCACCAGCTCCAGGATCAGATCCTCAAGGTGTGGATTTGAGATCTTCTGAGCCAGAAGTTTCTGAAACACACTCTGGTCTGGAGAAGAATGAACCTGGCCCCTGGTCTGTCCTTATATAGTCTCTGAAGACCACACCCATTTCCTCCTAAGGTTTCCAGTAGGCAGGAGCTCTCTAGAATCCTGATTAGCTAAGAGTGGAAGTTCTCACCTTTAATCCCTTAATTCACACTATTGGGAAACTTAAGCTGGAGGATTTTGAGTTCAAGGCCAGCCTGAGCTACACAATGAGCCCTGTCTCAGAAAAAAAGAACAAAACAAAACTGATATTACAACAATTTTGCTGTAACTATATGTTAATGGGTCCTCTCTCACTTTTGCTTTTAATGATGTAAAAAAGATGTTAACAATCTAAGATTTTGGCAAATATCTTAATGTTTATAAAACATGTTTTTAAAACATGTTTTTAATTTTTATTTATTTTGATTTTACATGTATGAATATTTTCCCTGAATGTATGTAAGTGCATAACATGTGTGCTTGGATCCTGCATAGGCATCAGATCCCCTAGAACTGGAATTAAGGGTGGATGTTAGCCACCATGTTTTTTTCTAGGAGATATGGCTAGTCTACAGAACCCAGGCTTGCCTTGAACTCTCCAAAAGCTAGCATTGCAGGTCTGTTCCTCCAGACCTGGTTCACTTTTGAACTTTCTACTCTTGGCTACTGCCTCATAAAGCTAAAATGTGGTAGGGCTATTTGCCAACAAACATCAGAAATCAGTTAACCTGGGAATATCACACCCTGAGAAAAACCTTTGCCTATAGTTCAAAATGTTTGCCAAGCCAAGAGTGCATTATATTATGGTAATATAGTTTAGAGATTTTATTTTCCTCAACTCCATCTCAGACTTTTCCCAAATAGACTCAGAGGCTTAAATTGTGGTTGGTTCTGAAAGAACATTCTACAAATTCTCACCAATTGAGCAAGTGTAGAGCAGACAGTTACCCCAACCCCATCCTGTGTGGCAGAGAAGGAATCACTCTTGCAGACTACCTGACATCTTTCTACTTTGGGTTACTTTGCTTAGACAACCCCCAGCCTGTACATAAACCAATATAGGTATTATTCAGGGTTCTCTAGGGGTATAGGACCAACAGAATGAATATATACATAAGGAAGATTTTTATTAGATTGATTTACACAACAGGGTTGGTGTTCCCACAATGGCTGTCACACACCAAAGAGGTCTATATTCCCATAGCCTCCATCTGTTGCAAAAAGAACCTTCTTTGATGAGTCCTGTACAGCATGTTTGTTGCTCTAAAGGAGGTCTCTTCTATCTGTCACTGTGTTCCCTATCAAACAATTTCTAGGTATACATATGCATTAATGTTCAGACAGTCTTTGTGCATTTCTCACAGGGTTTCTAGGGCATCACTTTTCCCTCTAGCTTTCCTAGACCCCGAGATCTATTCATCTCTACTCTTTTTTCCTCCTTTCCGGCCTCCGTCCCTTCCCAGTCACAGTGCCCCCATTATCCCCACCCTTCCCCCAATACCTCCCAAGTCCCACCATCTGCCCTTTCCTGACTTCCCTTGCTCCCCACACTATGGTCCCTTGCATGTCCCTCCCTCCTCTCCTTCCACCTTCCTCAGGTAACATCTAAAAATATAAAACACTTCACAAATTTGCATGTCATCCTTGCACAGGGCCATGCTAATTTTCTCTGTATCCTTCCAATTTTAGTATAAGTGCTGCTGAAGTGAGCACAACCCACTCCTTTAATCCCAGCACTTAGGAGGCAGAGGCAGGTGGATCTCTGTAAGTTTGAGGCCAGGCTGGTCTCCAAATCCAATCCAGACCTGCTGGGGCTACAGGGAGACCCTGTCTCAAAATGACAAAAAGAAAAAGAAAACAAAACAAAAACAAAACTGTTGGCTGTTATGCCCTGCTCGATGGTCTCCAGATGTTAGAAATTACTGCCAGCTTCACTATTGGAGACCATGCTCAGTTCCATAAATCTTTTAAAAATACTTTATTATTTTCTTTGTATACCCTTCCCTCCCCCCTCCCTTAAACTAACTCCCCCTTTTTTTTTTTTGAGACAGGGTCTCCCTGTAGCCCTAGCTGACCTGGATTGGCTATGGAGACCAGGCTGGCCTCGAACTCACAGAGATCTGCCTGCCTCTGCCTCTGCCTCCCGAGTGCTGGGATTAAAGGCATGCACCACCACGCCTGGCCCTAACTAGCCCAATTTTTATCCATATCTCTCTTATTATTTTTATTTTATGTGTATGAGTGTATCGCCTGCACGTATGTGAGCACACCCATGTCGTGCAATGCTGGGGAGGTCAGAAGAGGGCTTCGGAGTCCCCTTGAACTGGAGTTAAGGATGGTTCATAGCCACCATGTGGGTGCTTGGAATTGAACCCCAGGTCCTCTGCAAGAGCAGTTAGTGTTCTTAACCGCTGAGCCATCTCTCCAGCCCATTTCATAAATCTTTAAACAACATGACTTGTATATAACAATTCACTGGTAGCCTTGGGTCAATAAGGGCCGATTCTTCTGAAAATTGAATCCACACCACATATCCTGCATCTTCAAAACAGTAATATAATATGCTCCCAAAATATAAGTGGTTGAGTACTGTATCATAAAGTCTGGAGCTAGTCAAATAACCCCTGGGACACACTACTAATTTATCTACATTCTCAGTCTATAAAAATGCCACTGTTCTTCCCCTATCAAAATCCCCTGTCCCTAATTCACCTGAGATGCTTCTTACTTTGCATACATTATTTTTTGTTTGTTTTGTTTTTATTTTTGTGTTTTTTGGCCTATGCCTTTACTTTCCATTTTATATGACAAAGAAATACACTGATGACTTTACTCTTTGGTTATACTTTCCTTTTGGGTATTTAAGAGCATACAATTGACCCAAATAAATCAATTTAGTTTTACATTTAAGATCATTTGAGG